TGGTTAGCAGTCACATGCCTTAGGCACTACACCATGTGGAACAAAACTCAAATTCAAAAGAAAAAAAAAAAGACCAGACTTACTGGTCTGATGGAAACTAGTGAAATCCCTGAAGACTATGCCCAAGTCACCCTTTTGGAATTGAACTCACTCCTGTGGCTTAATGCTCCGCCAAACAACAGACAGGCCTAAGAGCTGAATGCTTACACCAGGGAGGTGCACTGCTTAGAACACTCAACCATGGCAGATCAGAAAGGCAGCATTTGCACAGGGAGAATGGTAACGATGCAGGAATGCAAAGACAAGAAGGTCACGAGGAAAGGAGAGCTACAGGGAGGAAGTGTGAGATGAGATGTTACCCTGTGGGGAATGTACCAAGTGTCACACAACAAAATGTTTATGAACTGTTGAATGTAAAACCAACCTCCTTTGTAAAATTTCACCTAAATCACAATAAAAAGTTAAAATCAGTTAGACATACAGGTACATGTTCATTTCTGGACTCTAAGCTGTTCTATTGACCAGTTTGTTCATAACCATGCTGTCTTCTTCTTGTTGGATGCCTGAGTGGATTCCAACTCATAGTGGTCTCATATGACAGAGAATTGCCCCACTGGTTTTCCTAGCATCTAACATTTACTGAAGCAGATTGCCAGCTCTCTGTTCCCATGGAGGTACGAGGTGGTTTGACCTGCCAGTCTTCCAGTTAACACCCAAGCATCAAGCAGCTGAGATGGTAGCTGTAGGGTTTTTGGTAGACACCACTTACCAGTTTGACAAAGTTGCTGCCTTTTTCTAGTTTCCTGAGAGGTTTTATCAGTAATGAATGTTAGATTTTATCAGAAGCTTTTTTCTGCATTCATTAACATTTTTTCCCAAGTGTTAGTTAACATGGTAAAATAATTTAAGTAATAAAGCAACCTTATATTTCTGGGATGTCACCTTAGTCATGATACATTTTTGATTCTACTCACAAATTTTGTGAAGAATTTTTGGATCTGTTCAAGGGGCACATTGATCTGTACCCTTTTCTTGTCATTTTTATTTCAGCTTCAGAGTAATGCTGGCCTCACAGAACAACTTGGGAAGTATTCCCCCCTTTTCAATTTTCTGGAATTTTTTTTTTTATAGAATTGGTTATTATTTCAACCTTAAATGTTTAGTAGAATTCCTCACTGAAGCCATCTGGGTCTGGAATTTTGTGATCAACTTTTCAAATTCATTTCCCTTAAATAGCTGTTTTGATGGTGTCATGGACTTAAATACATCCTTTGGCCAGGCTGTGATTCTCAGTAGTTTGGCAGTAATGTAATGATGTAATCATCCCTCATGGTGTCACCTGATAATGATTAGCCCATCACTTGAGCAACACTCTTACTCAGGTCACAGCCCTCATCCAGCCTAAGGGGAGTTTACATGGTGTGGGGACCGGCATTACTTTTTATAAAAGGAGAGAAAGGCAGGCAGAGGATGGACCTAACTACCACCAAGAAAGAAAACCTGGGAGCGAGCATGTCCTGCGGACCCAAAGTACCTGCGCCGAGAACCTCCTAGACCCAGGGGAAGACTGATGCCAAGACACATGGTGATCTCCAAAGGATGCCAGGCTCACGGATGTTGAAAGGAATCACGGACCTTCCTCCAGAGCCAACAGAGAGAAAGCCTTTCCCTACAGCCAGTGCCATGAATTCAGACTTCCAGCCTCCTGAACTGAGAGAATAAATTTCTATTTATAAAGGTTTCTACTTCTGGTATTTCTCTTATAGCAGCACTAGAGAACTAACATAGAATTAAGACATCTTTTTGCCTGAGTGCGCCAATTTATTCTTTTCAGGGGATTTTCTATTTAAGATATCCAATACATGGGCGTGAAGTTCTTTGTAAAACTACCTTGTCCTTTTCATTGCGGTGGAATCTGTAGTGGTTTTTCACACCTCCACTATGAATTCTGGTCTCTTTTGGTGACACATGTGCTACACTGACTCACAGCAAGATTTCAACAACAGGAGCCAGGAGACGAGGCACAAGGTAAATCGACAAAACTCATTTATATTCTCACTTAATAGTAGAAAACAATTGGAAAGAGTATAAAACAAAAATATCGCTGAGTAACTTTAAGAAAGCACCTGCAAGACCTCTATACAAAATACTACAAACCATTGTTGAGAAAATTTTATTAAAGATCTAAAGAAGTAATTATGCTAAGATTGCAGTTTGAAACCCACTACCATTAAGATGTCATCTCTCCCCAGATCTACAGAATCAGTGCAATGGCTGTCTTAATATAAGCAGGCTTCTTGCTAGGAATTGACAAGAGGATTCTAACAACAGTTGTCAGAAAATGCAAATAACCTATTTTCTTAAAAAAGATGGAGGGCTTATATTACCTGTTGTAATTTTTTGTCTCTGGTGTAAGAGATACCATTAGTGGAGAGCTTTAACAAACAGAAAACTCTCACAGGCTCAGCAGTGGAGTCTGAAATTTGGGCACAGGTTCTAGGGGAAGGCTTGCTCTCTCCTTGCTCTGAGGGAAAATCTTTGTCTCATCTTTCCAAGTATTCTTCTTGGTGTTCCTTGGTGATCTCCATGTAGTTTATCTTTGCCCTTTGGTGCCTGCTTGTCCTGTCTCTCAAATGACCTTTGTCATGTCTTGAAAGTGATAGGTTTGAGACACAAACTGCACTGATAAGGCCTAACATAACAAATAAAATCCTACACCAAATGGGAATGCACCCATATGTATCCTAGGGGTTAGTACTCCAACATGTATCTGAGGGAACACAATTCAATTCACAGTACCACCTAATATCAAGACTAAACTAAAAAAGACAAACCCACTGCTGCTGAGTCAATTCACACTCACTGTGACCCTACCGGACAGGCTAGAACTGCCCCATAGGGTTTCCAAGGTTTTAATTTTTACAGAAGCAGACTGACACATCTTTCTCCCACGGAGTGGCTGGTGGGTTCAAACCGCCAATCTTTCTGTGAAAAGCCGAGTGCTTACCCACTGCATTAGCAGAGCTCCTTACACTTACATGAAGGCTTTAATACTCCAGAGTGAACTTGCTGAAAAGACATACAGATGGACTGATGGAACAGAGCAGGTTCCAGAAATACACCCATATACGTAATTTTTTTTTTTTTTATTAGGATTTGGGTGAAGATTTACAGAGTAAATTCACTTTTCATACAGCAGTTCACATATACTTAGTCTCATGACATTGACCAAAATTTACAATGCAGCAGCTCCCCTTCCACTTCCTCCCCATAGTTACCTCCTCCCAGTGTCCATCCCTTCATACTCTTCTGCACCCTGAGCTATCTCCCTGTGCATAAGCAGCCCTTCCTTCTCCCATGATTGTTCTCTCCAGGGCGTGTGTCTACTTGAGGTAAATTTTAACTCACATGCCTGTACTTTGTTTGGTTGGAAACCACAGTTGTGGGTTCAATTCCAGACCTGAAGGGCAGCTAGGGGCCATAGTCTCAGTGGTTACACCAGGCTCCATTGGACCAGCAAACCTGGTCCCCACCTTCTTTTTTTTTTTTTTTGCCTCCAAATGATTTTGAGTTTTGTACCACATTGTTCTCCCTCTTTATGCAGGATCTCCTACATCCCTTCCAAGTGGATGGCAGTGGTAGCTGGGCACCATCTAGTTCTGGTCTCATAGTTGTATAGGTTGCAGATCGGATGGTGTACCAGTCTCTAGGACTGGTTGTTTCCATTAAATTTGGTTTTCTTCTTTCTTCTTGACGAGGAGAGACCCGTTGTTGCATCTAGATGGCAGCTTCCTAGCTTTTAAGGTCCCAGTTGCTACTCGCCAAAGTAGTAGGTGGAACAATGTTTTGTATAGTATGTTATGCCAATTGAGCTTGATCATATACGTAATTTTTATCAGCAATTTTTACATATACAATTCAGTGACATTGAATACATTAATATCTTGCATCTTTGCCAGTATACGTTTCCAAATTATTCCACTACCATAAGAATGAACTCAGTGCCTCCTAAGAAATGACTCCCTTTCTCCCATTGTTATGTGCCGCTGAGTTGGACCCAAATCATAGCAACCTCTTCTTGGGTTTCCGAGGTGATTATTGCTGTAGAAGTATATTGCCCAACCTTCCTTCTGACCTTTGGTCTCTACACATTTGCCTGTCAGTCAGTCATAAAACGACAAGATACTGCGCATCTGTCATTTTGTGTCTGACTTAAGTAGAATGTTTTCAAGATGCATCCATGTTTGTCTAAGTTATCTAGTGCTGCTATAAACAATTACCATGAGCAGATGGCTTTAACAAACATAATTTATTCTCTCACAGTTTATTAGGCTAGAAGTCCAACTTCAGGTCGCCAACCCCAGAGAAAGGCTTTCTCTATCTGTTGGCTCTGTGGAAGGTACTTGTATTCTTTCAACACCCGTGGCCCTGGCGTTCCTTGGAGATCTCCATGTGTTGGGGATCAGTCTGTCCTGGACCTAGGATGTACTCAGCACCAGGATCCCAGCTGCAAAGAGCACACTCCATTCCCAGCTCTTCTTTCCTGGTGGTAGTCAGGTCCCTCCTTCTCTGCTTCTCGCTCTTTTTCTTTCTTGTACAATAGATGATGCAGGCTGCACCCCAGAGAAGCTCCCTACATCACATCAGGGCTGTAACCTGAGTGGGGGTGTTATAGCCCAACCTAACACCCTAACAACTGAGTGGCTGATCACATCAGTTGAGATGATTACATCATTACATAATGGCCAAGCCACTGAGAATCATGACCCAGTCAAACTGACATTTTTTTTTGGGGGGGGAGGGGGTATTACAATTTAGTCGATGACAGTGTTGTAGCATGCACTGCCATCCTATTCATCTAGTGAGCCTTCGAGACATGGTGAATAAATGACTTTTTCTACTTAAGAAATTCAGAGCCAATTTATGCTACTTGTTACCAAAATCTCAACTGATAATGAACTATTTAGAATATTAACATGTTGAAGTGCAGTTTTCTTCTGTTAACATCTTCCAGCACGACTTTGCTGATGTCGTGTAAGGTGTGACCTGCACCGAAAGGACTTCCCACATTTATTGCAATCAAATGGTTTTTCACCGGTATGAATCCTCTTATGTTGGCTAAGTGATGAAGATGTGTTAAAAGTCTTCTCACATGCATAGCATTTATAAGGTTTCTCTCCACTATGTGTTCTCTTATGAGTAACAAGGGAAGAACAGGTACTGAAGGTTTTCCCACAGGCAGGACATTCATATGGCCTTTCTCCTGTATGACTCCTCCTGTGAACAATTAAACCGTATCTGCAGGAAAAGGCTTTTCCACATTCCTTACATTCATAGGGCTTCTCACCAGTATGAATTCTCTTGTGTTGAGTAAGTTGTGTGCACTGGGTAAAGATCTTCCCACATTCCTTACACTGATAAGGTTTTTCTCCAGTGTGAATTCTCTGATGTTCAATCAGGGAAGAGAGCCGTAGAAAGGATTTCTTACACTTACTACAGTCATGGGGTTTTTCTCCAGAGTGAATTTTCCGATGTCTAATGAGCTGTGCATTTTGAGTGAAGGCTCGGCCACATTCCTTGCACTCATAGGGTTTTTCTCCAGTATGAATTCGCTGGTGATCCGTCAGGGATGAAGAACGGCTGAAGGTTTTCCCACATTCGCTGCACTCATGGCACTTTTCTCTCGTATGAGTGCTCTGATGCTGAGTGAGGTGTGTCATCTGGCTGAAGGTTTTCCTACATTCTTTACATTCATAGGGTTTCTCACCTGTGTGAATTCTCTCATGCTGACTGAGGTGTGCCCTCTGATTGAAGGACTTACTACATTCGTTACACTTATAAGGCCTCTCTCCCGTATGGATTCTCTGATGCTGAACGAGAGCTGAGCGACGTTTAAAATGTTTCCCACAATCCAGACACTGGTAGCGCGCTTGTCCTTTTTGACGTCTAAGATGTAGAGTAAGTTGAGTATGGTGGCAGGAAACTTTACCACATTCCTTACATATGTTTCTTGTATGTTTTATCATTGTGTCACAATGAGATAATACTTTATTGTTTTTTGTCAACAACTCCTTATTGTCCATACTTTTCTCCTTATCTGAAACAGCAAGAAAACAAAGGAAAGAGACGAATATTAAGTTAACTCAAAAGATATGCTTCTTGTACTTTCAATCTAATTATTAGGATGACTCTAGAAATGAAGACACCAGCTCTGGATAAGAATATATACTCAAATGTTTTTATATTGGATATAAGCTAAGTAGCCATCATAAATTCTCATGATATATCCACATCTGGAGTATTACTCAGCTATTACTCAGAAAAGAAAGTGAATTTCAGCTATGTCTTCTGTCTTGCAAAGAAGATGAAACATTGATTGAAAAGAGCAAGTTACTCAATCAGCCATGAGACACCAGAGGGGCAGCATTCACATAGGGGAAAGTTGGACAGACAGGAATCTATATATTAAGGCACAGGGAGAAGAGGGCAGAAGAGCTTTTTATGGTTGGGGATGGTAATAGGGGCCGTGAAATGAACTGTTGAATGTAAAACAAACCTCCTTTGTAAATTTGCACCCCAAGCCCAATAAATAATAATTTTTTTAAAAAAAGAACAAGTTACCTAATTATGTGTTAAGTTATACATCCAAAACTTCTGTTTGTATTTATGTATATGTACATATGAACCTGAGGAATTATTGTGTACAGCCTTGGAACAGAGAATCATTCTCCAATTGTAAGAATGAAGAAAAAATTGACATAATGCAGAAATAATCTTAGAATTACAGTGTAAAATAAAGGATATAATCAAGGAAACAGTATGGATTCTTAGTGATACAAATGTTCAGAATTAGAGATCATTAAGAGTGAAAATGGGAGTTCTGGTAGCAAAGTGCCTCAGGCACTTGACTGCTAACCAGAAGGCTGGCGGTTCAAACCCACCAGCCACTCCTTGGAAGGAAGGTTGGGCAATCCTACTTCCATAGTGATACCGCCTTGGAAACCCAAGGAGGGGTCGCTATGAGTTGGGTCCAACTCGATGGCATGTAACAACAACAAAACAACAAGAGTGAAAATAAGATGGTGCAGTGATGGAACAGGGGACAGGATTTAGAGTTAAAAAAGCATAACATTCAGAATCACAGATGCTAGGGTGGTATCACAAGAAGGCTGATGGATATGATAAACAATTAAGGAAGTAATTGGATTTTCCACAAAGGCTGGAAGTGGTGTTCTTCTAACCTGTGTATTTCTATTGTCTAGGAGCTGTAGGTAGGCAACAGGTGACAAAGAAAATAAAATAATGAAAGTTGACAAATTAGAAGAAAGGGATGCTGTTGACTGCTAATTCAATATTCTTCACCAACATAATTCAAAAGCATCAATTCTTCTTCAGTCTTCCTACCCAATGTCCAGTTTTCCCATGCACATGAAGCAGTTTAAAATACTGGGGCTTGGGTCAGGAGCATGTCAGTCCTCAAAGAGACGTCTTTTGAAGCAGATTTGCCAAATGCAATGTATTCTTTTATTTCTTGGCTGCTTCCAATGGTGCTGACTTTGGATCCAAGTAAAATGATGTCCTTGACAATTTCAACGTTTTCTCTATTTATCAGGATCATTAAGTATGTCATGGGCTGCCCAAAGAATGAACAAATCTGTCTTGGAGGAAGTTCAGCCTGAATGCTCCTTAGAGGGATGGTGAGACTTTCTCTCTCATACTTTGGACATGCTATCAGGATGGAGCAGTCCCTGGAAAAGGACATGATGCTTGGGGAAGCAGAGGGTCAGCAAAAAAAAAATAAAAATAAAAGAGGAGACTCTTAGCAAGATGGCGTAACACAGTGGTTGCACCAATGGGCTCAAACACAGACACAATTGTGAAGATGGTACAGCAGTGGGCAAAGTTTCATTCTGTCACATACGGGGTCAGCGTGAGTCACAGCCATTAGTCCTAAAGGCAAATGAACAAACGAAGATGATCAAGGGAAATTCTTTACCACCACCAGAATACGCTAAGCCCTCAGACCCACTAAGGTGAATCAGAGAAAGGTACGAAGGAAAAAGAACTCAACAGGGTAAAGGGCAGCACTTCAGTGTTGGCATCTCCCCCTCAGACACCACTCACCAAGATAACACAGGACTTTCTCGTTCTCCTACTAAACCCATTACAGTGGAGTCTACTTCAACCCAGAGACCTATAGAAAAGAGCACAACTACCCCGTAAGGTTTCCAAGGCTATAATCTTCACAGAAGCAGACTGCCACATCTTTCTCCCACGAAGCAGGCTCGAACCACAGACCTTTCGGTTATCAGCCAAGCACTTCAACCACTGGGCCACCAGGCCTCTTCTCTTTTCCTACTACCAACCAACAAACCCTGCTTGGCAACCCACAGGCAATCCACTTTTCTCATGGCTTAAGGCTCCATTATTAGAACACACGTGAAGTACACACCCATTTCCATCATGAAGTTCTGCCCAGATCCGGCTACACATTTCCAACTCACACTTCAATTTACAACGTGATGCTAAACTATTTCTTAATAACTGCATCACAAATGTGCTCCATTTCTTCACTTCTGGTAACTTAAGTATCACTGACATTCTAATCAGAAACTTGATTCATTCCACAAATCAAAATGCCCAACCCCTCTAACTACAGTTTCCACTTGACAGAAGGGTTGTGGAAGCAGTCTTAATCCTTCCACTCAAGCATAAAGCCATGTCAAGGTTCTGTGATTTTAAACAAGTCCAAGATTTGCAATTAGATTCACGCAGCAGACCTAAGGCTGCTCTCCTTAGAAAGGACTGGTTGCAAAGTTGGCCCTTGACTGGTATCATGGACTTAACTCTGTCTCCCAAAAACCATGTGTTGTAAAGTCTAAGCCCTGCACTTTGGCTTCAGCCCCACCTGGAAATGAGCTAACTTTGTGAATTAATGAGGCAGCATTAGTGTAGGATGTCTCTTAAATCCATCTCTCTTGAGATACAAAATTGCTGATCAAGCAAGAAAACAGATGCTGCATCACATGAAGATCACCCAGGAGCCGAAGAACCAGGATCCACCCCAAAGCTGGCGCCGGCGGAGGGCCGGCAGACGGAGGGAACGTGGGACCTGGATGCGGACTTCGAGCCACCTGGACAGTGAGGAAATTAACTTCTGTCTGTTAAGACCACCCATCTGTGGTGTCTGTCATAGCAGCAGTAAGTAAATAAGACAGCTGGCCTTTGGGGACTTGGATTCTGGGAGGGTTCCCACAATCCCCAGAATCGACACACAGACTCCCTGTGTGTAAACTGTCCTAATAGTGTGGTTTATGCTCCGTGCCAGCTTTCCACCTGGGAGTATGGAATGTCAGCGTGTGCTGGGCAGAAGCTGCTCTGGTGACCAGCCCCCATTAAAAGCTTTGGGCACTGTGTCTCTAATGAGCTTCCCCAGAAGACAGCTCACACATATTGTCACAGTTTCTAGCTAAGGATTAGTCACACAGGTCCTGTGTGACTCCATGGAGAAAGGACTCTGGAAGTTTGTGCCTGGTTTCCTCAGGAAGCATCAGCTGTGGAGGTGGGCTGGAATGAGTGTCTGTTGATGAATAAATAAGAGCTCTGGTGGTGCTGTGGTTATAACACTGGAACCCACCAAGTGCTCTGCGGGAGAAAGATGGAACAGTTTGCTTTCATAAAGACTTACAACCTTGGAAACAGCTCTACTGTCCTACAAGGTCACTGTGAGTTGGAATCAACTCAGTGGAAGTGGGTTTGGTTTTTATAGTTTAATGAATAAATTATCAATGAATATGTTCTTTCATTCAAACATGAGACAAGTCCATAGGTCATTCTGCAGTAAAGAAACAGCAGTACCAAAGGATGGTGTTTTGTAAAAACCCAGAGTCTTATACAAGACCAACTGTAAAAGATAAGCTGGTAAGAATCAAGATCAAGTTTAAAAGGCACCTGACTCCACACGGGGAAGAAAGGCACAACTACAGTCTGAGGCTGGAGGTGTTTCTAACTTGGCTATAAATGCCAAGTGACGACAGCAACACGTCCCTTAGAAGCCCAAGCTCTACAAGCCTCGATGTCTGAAGCATGTGAAGGCAGCATCTTTCACATCTTAGTGAAGCTAAAGTATTGTTTGGTCTTAAGAAGACTTCAAGCGATATTTGTGATTTAAGGTTTAAACATTATCTTAGGGCAACACTTGTCAGGGTTCATCCAGCCTCCATGGCTCCAGAGAGTCTTGACACTGTGAAAATCTGAAGTTCTGGTCTGCATGTTCTCTGCAAAATTCTTCTATAGATTCTTTGATCATAATGTTCAGTCAGGGTAGCCGGGCACTACCCAGTTCTGGTCTCACGGCAAAGGAGGAGTTGTGCGTGGAGGCATCAGCCACACATTCCATTCCCTCCTCTTATTCTCCTTCTTCCTCTTTTGCTCTAGTCAACTAGAAACCAACTGTTGCATCTTTAATGGCAGCTTGCAAACTATTAAGTCTTTTACATCTTAAAGGCAAGTTACACTCTAGGACCAGCTAGCCTTTGATATAATCTGCTTACCTCTACTTGGTTCCCTTTACCCACCTGGCCACAGACCTTTTGTTTCTTCTTTCCTTGCCATACAGGGCATTTTTTCATGCTCCAACAGTGAAATCACATCAGGCTTAGGAATGGAGACTCCTGTGAAAATAAGCAGAAAGACTAGCCTTGCCATAGTTGTTCAACAATTCTGACACCACTACACTGATCAGGATAAACTAAATCCAACCCACTGCCATCGAGTTGATTCTGTAACCAGGGTGGAAGCCATTATAAAACAACAACAAAAATACAGACAAATGTCTGAGAGATGGGCTAAAGGAAGGTGCTCATTCCAGCTTTCACATTCCACGGAAATGCAGAACTTCACCAAAGATTCCCGGAAGAAAAAAGAAAACACACCCAAGAACAGATGCTGACTTAAGAGTCGAGGCACTGACCCAGTGAGACCAGGTTCCGATAGTTCTCCATCATCACAGCCCTGTACAAATCTCTCTGAGCAGGGTTCAGGAATGTCCATTCCTCCAGGGAGAAATCAATACACACATCTCGGAATGTCATCAATTCCTGAAATGACAAATACTTTCTTAAAAGAGTGCCAGTGCTTCATGTTCCTTGGCTGAAGGATGAAGAATTGGCACTGGAAGCACAGAGCTGATCAAGACTCTCACAAGAGAAGCTTAACTACGTCATTAAAGAACAGTGACACAAAATACCATCTGTGCACTAAGATCTGGATGTAGTCAATACTTAATGGTGGGGGAAAGTTCAGGATCAACAGGATGATTAGGAAAACCAAACTTTTAAAAACGCATGCCTTGGAGATTCTGTACATCCATGTGTTGAAACCTACTTTGTAAAGAAAGCATAACAATCATTTCTGTAGTCTTGCTGCTATTGTTGTGTGCCATCGAGTCAACTACAACTCACGGCGGCCCCATATGACAGAACAGAACTGCCCCATAAAGTTTCCTACACTGTGATCTTTATTGGAAGGAGCCTTGGTGGCACAGTGGTTAAGTACTCAGCTGCTACTGAAAGGTCAAAGATTAGAACCCATCAGCTGCTCCATGGAAGAAAGATGTGGCAGTCTGCTGCTGTAAAGATTACAGCTTTGGAAACCCTATGGGGGAGGCCTACTCTATCCTATAGGGTCGCTAAGAATTGGAATCAACTCAACGGCAGTGGGTCTGGGTTTTTCTTTTCTTTTAATCTTCACGAGAGCAGACTGCCAGGTCTTTTCTCCTATGGAGCCACTGGTGGGTCTGAACTGCCACCTTCTGGTAAGCAGGCCAGTGCAAAGTCACTGTGCCACCATGGCTCCTTTTGTTACTCCGAGCAGACACTGACTGTGTTGAAGCTTTCAGTAGGACCGTCAGGACAAGTCACTGTTTTTGTTGGGGGAAAAAAAAAGGCTCATCCTTGAATACAAGGCACAAGAAACTCATGTTCAACTTCCATACATGTGGTTGTTACACTGACCCCCGTGTCCCAGGTATTCAGTCCCTTCTATCGTCCCTTCTCCTTGAATCTGGATTGGGCCTACAGAGTAAACTCAACAGAAGTGGGCAGAAGTAAGGCTGAGCCAGTTCTGGTCAAAGCCTTAAGCAGGCCTGGTATCTTGTTTGCCTTGATGGGAGCTGCCACGTGAGAAGACCAGCCATCCTGCTGTAGATACTGTATGAAGAGGGAGAACGAGAGGTTCTGAGACTACATGGAGGAACATGGGGAAACCTGGCCAACAGTGAAACCAGAAGCCCCAGCTATCCGCCAAGTATCAGACATGGAGGAAGCACTGGTGGTTAAGCGCTTGACTGGTAACCGCAGGGTTAGTGGTTTGCAACCACCAGCTGCTCCACGGGAGAAAAAGATCTGGAGATCTGCTCCTGTAAAGATTAAACAGAAACTATGGCCACTTAGTGATTCTGACTCATAGTGATGGTACAGGACAGAGCAAAACTGCCCCATGTGGCCTCCAAGGCTGCAAATCTTTCCAGAAGGACACAGCCACTCTTGTTGCCACAGAGTGGCTGCGAGATTTGAACTGCTGACCTCGTGGTTAGCAGCAAAGGACTTACCTACTGCACTATCAGGTATCCTTCCATAAAGATGCAGCCTAGGAAAAAGAAACTCAGTGGGGCAGTTCTAGTCTGTCCCATAACATTACTATTAGTCAAAACAGAGTCAACTGCACACAGCAGCCATCAAATATGTAAATGAGGGATGCAACTGTGGGAGTTTCCAAACCAGTAAGCAACAAGCAGTATCGCAGATCAGTCATTCCCATCCTGCTGCCTGAATTCCACACCCACAGAGTCATAAGGCATACTGAAGTAGTCCTTGCTCCATCTACTCAATTTCTGGGGAGTTTATTATACTTCAAAAAGATGACAGTCCCTAGATAAAGACTCATCCTTTCCTTCAGAAAACGTATCTCTGACCCCAAAAGGGTATAGGAGGAGAGTGGACACAGTGCAGATCCAGAGTAACTGAGTGAACCAATGAACACTGTAAGCAGAGGAGAGTCACTGAGGTGGGGCTGGGCTGTCTGGGCAACCCTGTGTAGCACCACCTCTTGGTAGAATGGGAGAACTCACCTGGACCTTGTCCCCGTGTCAGTCTCTACTACCAAGTAAGCTTCACGGGGAACAAAGAAGGTGTTCCCAGAACTTAAGAAATAACATGATACTCCAAGACACCAAGATGAAAAAAATCTTACCTGTGCTATTACTAACCCCCACTTTGCTGGGCCCCACTCTGAAGAACAGAATCCTTGGAGTGCAGAGCTAAGGAGAAACAAACAAACTAAAGTGGCCAGGACTAGGAAGCCCCTGCCCTCTTCACCATGGGGCGGGGGGACCTCACTGCCATTGAGTTGACTGTGACTCTTAGCAACCCCTTCTTGGGTTTCTGAGGCGGTATCTCTACGGAAGTGGATTGCCTTATCTTCCTTCCAAGGAGTGGCTGGTGGGTTTGAACTGCCAGTCTTCTGGTTAGCGGTCAGATGCCTTAGGCACTATACCACGAGAGCTCCCCTCTTCACTGTATCCCTACATAAACACCAAGACGATTTTGCTATCAAAATACAACACTATTTAAGATGCAGTCTTCCCAAATATGTTGCTGCTGTCGAGTCAATTCCAACTGATGATGACTTCATATGCTGCAAAGTAGACGGTGCTCTATGGAGCTTTCAAGGCTGTGACCTTTGGTGGCGTATCGCCTGGCCTATCTTCTAGGCACTGATAGTTGGTTTCTAAACACCAAATTTTTGTTAAGTAGGAGAACAACTCACCATTTGTGCCACCAAGCCACCTTCCAGAGTATGAAATAGGGCCTTTTTCAATGCCTCAGCCACCTATTGCAAGACAGAATCATTAGTAAAAATAAAAATGGGTTTCAAAGTATTTTCTATGCACATACAAGGAGTCTTGGTGGCACAACAGTTAAGTGCTTAGCTGCTAACTGTAAGGTCAGTGGTTCAAATCCACAAGTGGCTCTGCAGGAGAAAAACCTGTCAGTCTGCTTCCAAAAGATTACCACCAAGAAAACCCTATGGGACCGTTCTACTCTGTCCTACAGAGTCACCATGAGTCAAAATCAGCTCCATGGTAAACAACACTGACTAATCTGAAGATTGGTCGTTCAATCCCCCCCCCCCAGTGGTGCGGCAAAAGAAAGAACTGGCAATTGGCTCCCGTAAAGATTTGTTGTTGTTGTTGTTAAGTGCCGTCAAGTCGTTTCCGACTCATACCGACCCCATGCACAGCAGAACGAAACACTGCCCGATCCCGCGCCAGCCCCACAATCCCTGCTATACTTGAACCCATCATTCATCCAAGATTACATCTTAGAAAAACTTAAGGGGCAGTTCTATTCTGTCACTTGGGATGCTATAAGTTCGAATCCACTCGATACAACACCAACAACTAACCTAAAGGTTGGTGGTTGAACCCACTCAGTAAGACTTGGAGACCCGCTCCAGTGAAGAACCCAGCCTAGAAAACCCTATGGGGGCCCGCCTCTTGTCACATGGGGTTGCTATCAGTGGAATTAATTCGACGGGACCCAGCAGCAACAACCGATGCGCGCACACCCTGGTGTCGCTCTTTCACAAACGCAACAAACGGTCACGCACGCACACACACTCATTCACACGGGCCACCCAGCAACTCACAGGCCTAGACGTCGGGTCGGTCGCGCGCAGATCCGGAGCCACCAACCTCTCGGCCGGCCCCATTCCCCACACCAGTCCTAAATGGCGGCCATCCCTCGTCAGCACGTTAAAACCTTTAAAATGCTCAGGCACCGCGGGACCTAGAGAAAAAAACCCAAGAAACCAAACGCTACAGCGCAGACAACAAAGGTTCCCAACTTCCGGCTAAACCGGAAGCGCCAGCCTCACTTCCCAGCACCACACACGCGTCCCGGTGGCTACTGGGAGTCGTCCAAGACTTCATGTGCGCATGTGCAGCCTCATACCGACAATCGCGACTTCCAGAATCCTGCGAGTTTCTGGAAGCTGGGACGGGGCCTTGGTAACGAGGGGCAGGAGCGAGGCGCGGGGCCGGGAGTGTTTGGGATGGTAGAGGAGCCAGTCGGCCTCTAGGCGTAAAGGACTGGTTGTTATCTCTGTGTGTCTCGGACCTGGGAGGAGGAGCTTTTAGGACATCCAGCGCGCATGCGCTTGCCGGGGCGTGGCCTTAGCGCTGTGGGTCTCCTTTGTGGGAGTAGAGGGAAAAGATCCAGTGCGCGTGTGCATTTCGCTTCGTGGTCGTTGTTGTTGTAGTAGTTGGAGGCGTGGCTTTGTGGCCACAGTGGCTAGCGTGGGAAATCAAAGCCACGTGGCGCATCTTTCTAGAGGAATCAACGTTGTCCAGCAGGCACACACACTTCTAGCTGGGCCCTTGTGATGATGTGTGGGGGTGAAAGTGTGTCATAAATTTGTGGTGGTTAGTTGCCTTCGAGGCAGCTCCAATTCCTGGCGTCCCACTGTGTACAGAATAGAACTGCCCCAAAGGGTTTTCAGGGCTGTGACCTTTGGAAGCAGATCGCCAGGCCTTCTTCCTTAGCGCCTGCTGGTGGGTTTGAACCGCCAACCTTTTGGCTAGTCATGAGCCTTTAACCTTTTGTGCCAGGCAGTTCTGAGGTTTTCCTCAGGATTAATTTGAGTTCATTCATGTTGAACAAAAATGACCCAGCAGTGATGTACTTTTCTCACTGCCTCCTGTCAGGGCTACCTGGTGTATCTCAGACTTGCCTTGAGAACATAGTTACAGTGATGTCTGGATGGTTTCTCCATTATAAAGTTCTTGATTTAGTTTTTGTAGCTAACACATATCTTGAGGCATTTTGAGACTGCAGATAGTCTGTCAATATATTTTTGTCCTGTGGAACAGTGGTTAAGCGCTCGGCTGCTAACTGAAACATCAGTGCTTTGAACCCACCAAACTCTCTGAGGGAGAAAGACCTAAGGGTCTGCGTTTGTAAAGATCACAGCCTTGGCCACCCTGAGGGGAAATTCCGTTACCTGGGGTCACTGTGAGTCAGAGCGGACTCAA